TCTCTAGGGAGGCTTCCTCGTCACTGCCATCATTAAGAAGATGATAATCAACTCTCTCGGAGCGAAGACGGCGCTTCCCAAGAGACATGGATAAGTCATCCATATTAAGAAAGAAGTTGCAACATATTGATATGCTTTGTATCTCTTAGAGCTCAAATCCTCTAGTTGGAGCATGTTGGGTAAACAAAAGTCGCGACTGCTGGGCATTCATTCATTGGCTCGGCTTTTGCCGAATAAGTCTTGGCATTATTTACGAATATTCGCGAATAATACGAATAAAACGTCTCGAAATTTAGTCGAATACGAATAATCGTTCCCAGGGAAAAGTCGAATACGAATAGCCAAAATCCTTATTCGTGTCCAGCCCTATATTGACCGACGCCTCGTGAGTCCTGAGTCACTTAGAGAGGCGGGCGAACGATTCAAAGAACATCCAGATTATGTAGTCGTCCATCGAGTTCTCACGAAGGACGAGGTCCAAAGTCTGGCGGACTGTACTAGGGACTTGAGAGAAGTTATAAACCAAGCGTTGGTGGATGAAGCGGTCCCCCATATCCAGCGGTTCGCATCCCGTACCCATGAAATGAGGGAGGCTATATTGAGATCGGGAAAAGGAGGCCCGCTTTTCAGTTATGTGGAGGACTATGAGTCCGATTCCGAGAATGAGGCCCATGTCCGTGGTCACGTTGATCAGCCATCAGGTGCCTCTTCTGGTGGAGATTGAACCTGGCCAGACCGTGGACAAAAGTATTGGGCCTCGAAGTAGGAAACCGAGCCCATGTCGATTTTCAAAGGAAGACGAGGATGAGGAAGATCCCCTGGAGACGACAGAACACCCTTAGTTTACTTGAGTTAAAATGGTTGTCTTGGGTTTTGGACGGCTTTACTCCATTCATGGGCGCCTCTTGCTCAATCCGGTTGAACAATTGCCACTGTGATAAGTTGATTTTTAGTCTATGAACCCGTGAGCTTGGATTTCAACTTATTTGTCCTAATGACTGGCAATATGGAATCGGTACCCTAAATTACATTGAGTGCCAATGAAAATAGATCGATCCAATTCAGAACGAAAACTTAGTTTGAAAAATGCGGTTGCCTTCTCAATCGATGACTTTGCTCATCCGACATTGACTCTTCGATAACTTTCCGTACTAGAATATCTTCATCCTCTTCAAGTGCGTAGTTTCTAGGATCGTCCAGTATCTGGGACGCGTGGGGTCCCTGTACTTGAGCACTGGGCTCGCCACATTCTTCTGCCCCTGCGGCTGCTTGACGTTCTTCCTGCCGAGGGCGTTGAGGATTGATGTAGGTATAGACCCGGGCTGCTTGACGATAGGGCTGATTCGGAGACGCCATTGGATTGTCCGCCGGGGAGAGAACCCTGGATTGGTAGGGAGGCGGGTCAGGAAAGGGGCCGCGATTTTCAGGATATGTCCGGTAGCCTCTAGGAAAGGCACTGTAGTTTGGATTCGGTGCACGAAGAGGCCGAGTGTCTGGTGGCGGAAAATTCCATGTTGGAATAGGAGAGAGCCTGCTCGGGGTATGTGAAGGGGGGGAAGAAGGGAAGGGTCTAGTTGGGATAGGAGATTGCCTGCTGAGTATTGGTGTATTCTCACCGGAAAGACCAAAGTGTCTGCTTGGATAAGAAGGTTGGCTGTGAGGATAAGGAGAATGGCCACCTGGAAGAGGTGATTGTCGGTTGGACGATGAGCCCACCCGCAGGTACCCCTCATCACTAAGATGGCGCTCTTGCTCAGCTCCAGTGTGTGAAATTTCGATATCCGAAGCAGAATCTCGCTCTGTGTCATTTTTGTCGGCTCTAATTCCTTGCCGTGGCAGTGTGAAACGAGTACGGTCGCGAGGTATCTTCATCCCACCATGGCTCTCACTTGAGGAGCGGATGAATACAACGTGTCGCTTTCCTCTCCTAGCCATTTGACTTTGCATTTCCTTGGCGTTTACGGGAGTTGCCAAAGACACTCCCCGGGACATCCAGTTCTCAGGACTGATGACCAGATGTTGGGGCCCTCCAACATCAACCTTCCGGAAATTTGCCCCTTGGGGGTCAATCTTGACTCTTGATGCCTCCCAGAGGTTTGCTGTAGTGGTTATCTGCGTTTGGAGCACAGTCTGGGACTTGGCTTCCGTGATCGTACAAGTACTTGTACTGTGGTTTGGAACTTCGCATTCCAGACACACGTCCGCCATTATGGAATAGCTGGCGGTTCTGTCCGAGTCCATCAAAAACTCAGCCCAGTTGTTCTTCTTCAAGCTTAACCCAACAGCCCATTCTTGATGGTTGTGCAAGAAGGCGACCTTGAACTTGTCTCCCCGGAGGCCAGTGCCATCAAGTAGATCGAGTACGCATAAAACAAGAGCTGCCATATCCTTTCGGTACGAAAAATGATCAATCCAAACTTGCACTATAGCATACTCACTCTCATTATCTAGTGCCTTCAGGAAGTCACTTCCCCAGCGCGTTGTCGTCCAACCGGGCCTCTGTATTTCCAAAACAATTTCCAGGCTCTTGCTCAAGAGAAGCTCTTTCACGGATATCCGTCTTGCATTGCCTGTACAGCTGCTGATTTCGACCCCAAGGGCATGATTCAGCCATGCTGGATTGGCAGACTCGGGAGCCTTTCTCCATCTGTTTCTCACGGCTTGTTTCAGCGGGATTCCCGGCATCTTTTTCTGTCCGACATTAAAACTGCCGCTAGCAATTTTGGAGAACCCGATTGTTGCACCACGGGTTTCAGTCTCCCATTCGGATGGCTTGGTGCCCAAAGGGCCGAACAGGTCGGAAAAATCGGCTTCGAAGTTGTCCATTGTGTATGTGCAATCACTGTTGTACCGATAGGGACCACCGATTAACAAAAGATCGTTCGCGGAAAGCAATATATCGTTCGGCTTGGAAAAGCGGTGGACAAGTCGCTTCTTGAGGTAGTATGAAGTGCTATTATACCAGTGACAACGGATTGCATTCTTGAAAGCCGGCGCCTTGGAGGCTTGAAGAGGGACAATAGCCCCTTTTGCAACTTCGAAGTGCTTGATTTCGCATTGTTGGGACTTGTTCTCGATAGACGTGACCGCATAAACAGGACCCCACACATCTGCGAAGGCTTCCATAGTTGTGAGGATGGATAGTCTCTTAAGGGCTCTAGAGTTGGGTGGAACCATCCCATTTTGTTTGAGAGAGCACTGGAAGACCCATGCTTTCTTCCCATTCAGAAAGCCGTCAAGGCAAGCGAGGCCTCCAAGATTGCAGGAGACGTTAAAGGCTCCATTCTCGAGACCATCAACGCTGACGTTTGCTACGTCTTTATCCATGCACTCCAGGTTGAATCGACTCCCATGAGAGCCCGCGTAACTGACTAGTGCAAGGTCGAGGAACAGTGCTATCGCTCGAACCAGGACCAGAGGTGAAGAGACATCTGCAACAGCAAGTCCAACCATTTCCATGAACGACTTGCTTATATCCCGCAGGTCTTCCAAAGTGTCAAGCATGTCGTCTCCGTTTAGAAGTGATCCAATTACTGTCTCTATTCCCTCGTGGAAGTTGCAGAGCCAGCCTTCCGAGACCTGCTTAAGTTCTGCAATATTCTCGCCTGGACAGAGCAGAAGGAAACTGAAATAGGCAGAAGAGTCAGCAAGACCCCAATTATGGCCATCTCGGGGTCCATGGGCGAAGCAGCCGGTGCATATTTCAGGCATCGTCTCTTTGCGTTTCCATGCCGATCTTGTCTTGCATTCTCGGCACATCCAACCTGCGTTAAAACCACCTGCAGTGCTAAAAGCCGAGCGCAGATATCGGAATGACTCAAGGACTTGCCATACGATGCAGTAAGTCTTCGTGAGATTTCGTAATGCAGCCTGTAGCTGCCTCCAAGACTTATCGAACTCGTCCATTGGTGTGCCACTTTCAATCGACTGATCTAATGGAATTTGGCTGAGCCAGCCCGGCAACTTCGCTCTTAACTCTTCAACATTGCTGATTTGGTGATTCGATACACTGTAGATTCCGCCAAATTGGGCGAACTCTGACGCTTCCACTACATGCCGTTCGATGAAGTCAAGCTTCGCATAATACGCGTCTGGATCAACAAGGTGCAGATCCGCGTCGAAGTTCCCAGCTCTTGCAAGTTCTTCCCATGCTTGTCTGGTCTTGTCAATTTCGGTTTCGTTAGCTATATCTGAGCATCTCTCTGGCAGCCTGTGCGTAGAATCCTCATCTGGATACTGAGTACCTAGACGTAGGATGAGATGAATTGTGGACTCCCTCTGGATGTTGAAATCACGCATAGTTCTTTGGTTGAATCTACCCTCGAGACTCTTGCCGGCGAAGATCCATCTATGCGAATCCATCGGTATCTTTTCTTTCTCGGATAGTAGCTTCTTCGCTTCTGCAATGGTGGTAGTGTGGTCGACTTCAAGAATAATCGGGCCTCCGGTCACTATCGTGCGATATTAGCTGACTTGAGTATAGAAACTCCATCCGACAACACTTACACCCTTGGACATAGATCGGGAACATCTTGAGAATCGTGATTTGCGAAACTGTAGCCACACCTTCGCAATTGATCTTACCAATTCCCTTCTCGACGATGATCTGGATCTGAATTTGTATCCCCGACAGTCAAATCCCGCAAAGAGTATTGTCGTTTACTATATGTATGCCCCGCACTCACATAACGGCAGTGGTGATTGACTCAGCTGCCACGGCCTTGTGCGCCATTTTGGAGCTATGAAGCCTGGTTAAATTTGTGTCCAATGATGATCCTAGATTCATGATGGGCGATGACCAGGCTCGATCCGGACATATGGTCCGTACTGCGATCTAGACCGACCCATTGGCTTGGGCTTGGGAGTTGGGCCTAGACGCATTTGCTTTTTCCACATTCTCTTTCGCGAAATTGCTCGGGTTGGCGAAGTGCGAGTTCCGACGAATATTGATATGCGACAGATTGCGTCAATAAGGTAGGCTACAAATTATAGCAGAAAACTGTTGAATGTGATGGTTGGACTTCATCGCTTAGCCCCGGCTTAGCCTCTCGCTTCAAAGAGCTATCAGACATCTGCAAGAAATGAGGACATATTGGCTGAGATCGCTTAGGAGAATCATCACGATGCAATAAATATTAGTAAATGTGCAAAGAGAGACTGAGAACAGAAAATTACTGGTCAGGGTATGGGCATCAGAGCGCCTCTGGTCACTGGTGTGCTGTGCTGTGGTTCTCATGAGAATTCAAGCTTTCCGAACCAGAAGCTGTACCTGAATTTGACCTTTCTCACCGCACTCGGCTCTTTTGAATTAGCAGGATCAACTCTTAGCTGAACGAAGCCAGGAAGAAAATTTGTCAAATGAGTTGAAATGCCAGCTGTTATTGTACATGGCACGCCGGGTGCCTAAACTTGCTGTCTGGGGTGTTGAGATGGAACTCTTCAATGCTCGTAAGCCACCAGTGAATCGTGGCAGGGCTTGCTATCGACTATAAAACTATATTCGACAACTTAGTTCTATGTCAGTCTCCGCGCCAGTAATCGAGGGTAAACCGTATTTGATACAGGTATCAAGCTTCTACTTCTGCTTTGCTCTCTAGCAATGTACTGCGTTTGCAACCTGCAGTACAGTGCACCCTGTCGATGAATCCCTCGATAACCATGGTTATAGACAGACTTAGAAGGGACTAATGTGTAAGTCTTCCATGCTGGAACCGGGCTAATTTGTTCAAGCACACAGCGCTCCCAGCCGGGAAATGTCTGCTTAGTGGTCGATACCGAGTTCTCCTCGAGATATAGTCTAGATGCTTTATTCGCGGAAGACATCGCGACCGACTCTAAACGGTTGCGGTTCAATGGCCGCACGTAATGAGCAACTGTCAAGGCGTTCTAATCCTTAATAGACGAGCGGATATCCGATTATGTCGCTGCCGTTTCCCCGTCCGAGCCTCTTTGCACGACAAGCATTTTACGCTCTTCTCGATTCGCTGAATAGATCTGCATAAGTACTGGTTAGCGCCAACTATGGAGCAATCCAGACGGGTCCCAATTACATACCCAGTACCAAAGAAGTAGCTCCGTGAATGCCCAGGTGAATACCACACTATTCTTCAGGTCCTGCCCGAAGGCCCTTGTTTTGGAGTCACCCAGAGGCTTCATCATATATGTGAGCGCCGTAAGGCCAAATAGGAAGGCCAATCGAACAGGAACCTGGACTGCCCAGTATTGCATGGCAAGAACTGTGGGCATAGAAACAGCGGATAGATCGACGACGCCCAAGAACGCGAGGATGACGGCGAGGAAGGCTGATGCATGGCTCGGCTTGCTGAAGGCAGATGTCGCATGTGGCTACGGCTGTCAGTGGAATCTGAGTACAAGAAAATGAAGATGCTCCTCTATTACCATATGCGTCGCCTCTCCTAAGAAGAATACCAAATCATGGTCCGCAACCTTCTGTGGATTCTGAAGCAGGACAAAAGCCAAGAATATATGAAACACCGACACGACCCTGATCAATGTAAAGGAGGAAATCAAAGCCATTTCGAAGTGACAAGTGACAAGTTCTGGGCTTCCTCAATATCTCATGCAAAGCTGAAAGACGCGTGTAGTTATGATAGACGCGATTGGACTTCAGTTGATAGATACCATTTTAGAGCCAACGATATGAACCAGAAGTGCAAGTCTTTCTAATACTGTAGTGGTCTTCAATAAGTTCGAACCCCTGCCTGTTGGCCAACCACCTACTTGGCCAGTATCACCATCTTCACCACCATCACCAAACGCGTAATATCTCAACCACCATATCGTATTACGATGTCAAATTCAGAGGAGGTACTCCTACAGGCTATCCATGCCGTAGAGACCGGTCAATGCAAATCACAAAATGAAGCTGCGGCCCTATTCAAGGTCAATCGAGCTACGCTTCAAAACCGCCTCAAGGGCATGCAATCGCGCTCTACAGCTCAACAATCGAACCAACGCCTTACACCGGTGCAAGAGAGGTTTTTAG